TTTCTGCACAATTAGATTAAGGTTATACATTTTGGGGCAAGAGTACTGCAAGAATTGTATTGTTTTTCTCAGTGCATCATATCAAAAGGCATATGATGCCAACCTGGCTCATTGTTGGTGTTAACTTTGAACACTTAGCGACTAAGGTAGTGCCTTCACTATAAAGTTATTATTTTTCCCACTATAATTATGAGTATCCTGTGGCAATATACTTTGAAATTATGAAAATACCTTGGTACTCCACAAACTTTCACCATTTTAATATCCATTCATATCTGAATTAACTATTATGATGGTTATCAAATGGCATTTTTTCCCAACTCATCATTTCTTCTTACATTTATTAATTGGCTTTCAACAGTAAGGAAGAACGTCCCTTCTCTTCCTTCCTTCTTGTCAGTATTAGAATCGTAGATTCTTATTTTATTTAATAGTTTATAGCCTTTTATTGTCAATATTTATTTTGATGCTCAAATTATCCCAGATTTGGTCAGTAGAAGCCCTTTGACTTGACATGTTCTGAACATTCTTTGAACATTTCCTTCCTTTCTTTTTTTTTTTTTTTTAAGATTTTATTTATTTATTTGACAGAGAGAGACACAGCGAGAGAGGGAACACAAGCAGGGGGAGTGGGAGAAGGAGAAGCAGGCTTCCCGCAGAGCAGGGAGCCCGATGCGGGGCTCAATCCCAGGACCCTGGGATCATGACCTGAGCTGAAGGCAGACGCTTAATGACTGAGCCACCCAGGCGCCCCATTTCCTTACTTTCTGGCACAAGATGTTCCAGGTTCATCTTGTACCTTTCCCTACCTCAGCTGTGTAATTATCCTTTTCTTCAAGGAACCCTGGTTCCTTTTAGTGTAAACTGGTATTCTAAGATCTGGGTCAAAGGAGAGCTTAGTGCTACTGAGGGGTAATTATTTCTACACTCAGTGGGTAGTGGTAGGAAAGATGTATGAATACACACATACATGCCACCTTCACACATCTATATCTATTCCTTTATCTATCTATATTTATTAGAAACCACAAGTCTATATTGATACCTCCAATTCCAATTCAGCACCACAGGGTTCCTTCTATCCTTTCCCCTTTTCATATGTGTAACTCTCTTCTCTGACAGTGAGAAACTTGGCTCTCATTATCCATAATACATTTATTTGTTTAATCCTAGAATACATACAAGATAGTTTTTCCATTGTTAACTCATACCTCTATGAAAAAGAAATTTACTAGAGTTTAATATTTATTTACAGTTCATTTTCTCTTTAGCCTGAGAATACTTAGTCCAAATACGTGTTTTAAGTTACTTGGACAGATTAGTGGTTGCCAGGGACTAGGGAAGATGGATGGTGTGGCCATAAAAGGAGAGGGATCCTTGTGGTGATGGAACAGTTCTGTATATCTGGATTGTGCTGGTAGTTATATGAATCTACACATGTGATCACAATGCACACAAATGAATGCATATAAAATGGGTGAAATCTGTATATGTTCTATGGATTGTACCAATGTTAATTTCCTGTTAGTGATATTGTACTATAGTTATATAAGATGTAATCACTGGGGGAAAACAGGGTGAAGGGTACATAGGACCTCCCTGTATTAGTTTTGGCAGCCTCCTGTGAATCCATAATTATTTAAAATAAAAACTGAAAAAAAAGCTACTTGGGCTTGTTTCCCCTCAAACCCCTTCTCTCACCCCAGTTATGTTATTTATTAAAACACAGTTAGGTTAATTTGTGTCTGTATTCCATGTTAGGCCCTCTCTTGTTGATATATCTTTCAACTCACTTCTTGATTTACTTTCCTTTTAGAATATAAACACTAATATGGTTCCCAAAGCCTAAAAGTTGTAACTATACAAAGAAGTAAACTTAGAAGTATTATGCCACCACCACCACCATTACCACTTTGGCTTCATACCTTTTCTCCTTTCCAGCCCATTCCTATCCACCCCTTCTACATAAGCAGTTTGATTAGTCTGCCATTTATCTTTGTTTCTTTTTTGACAAATGATCATTAGTATGTACATTTTTAAATTTCTCCTTTCTTACAAAAAGATACATATATCTACTATGCATACTCTTTTGTATTTTGCTTTTTTAACTTAACAATATATTTTGGAAATCAGCTCAGAAATTTTGCTCCTATTTTTAATTTTAATTTTTTTACAGCTGCATAATACTCCATTGTGTACTATAGATATTCAACCACTGCCCTATGTATGGGCATCTGGGTTGTTTCTAATATTTTATAATTACAAACAACACTGTAGTGAATATCCTACATATTGTATATTCATACTGTTAGAAGGGTGTCTTCAGGGCAAATTCCTAGAAGTGAGATTGTTGGGTCAAGAGGTAAATGTACATTTAGTTTTGTTACATATTGCAAGATTCCTGATAGGTTTGTACCATTTTGCATTCCCACCAGCAATGTGTATCTGCTTTCTTAAAACCTCTCTAATGGAATGTATTTATTGTACTTCAAAATTCTTACTATTTGGATAGGTGAGAAATGGCATCTTACTGTAGTTTTAATCTACATTTCTTTAAATATGGGTGAAGTTGAACATTATAAGAAAATGAAATTACAGATCAATATTTCTGTAAACACAGATGTGAAAGCCCTTAACAGAATATTAGTACATGGAATCTGTCAACCAAGTACAATTTCTTTTTTTTTTTTTTTTTAAAGATTTCATTTATTTATTTGAGAGAGAGAGTGAGAGAGAGAAAGAGCACAAGACGGAGGAGCGGGAGAGGGAGAAGCAGACTCCCCGCCGAGCAGGGAGCCCGATGCGGGACTCGATCCCGGGACTCCAGGATCATGACCTGAGCTGAAGGCAGTCGCTCAACCAACTGAGCCACCCAGGCGCCCCCAAGTACAATTTTTTTATTCCAGGAATGGAAGGTTGGTTTAACATTAGGAAATTAATCAATGTAATTCATCACATCAATGGAATAAAGGAGAAAAATTATGATTATCTCAATAGGCGCAGAAAATATATTTCACAAATTTCAATACCTATTCTTCATAAAAACACTCCACTCAATAAACTAGAAATAGAAGGAAGTCCTCAATCCGACAGAGGACCCCTATGAAACGTCTATAGACTGAATGTTTCCCCCCTAAGATCAGGAATGTTTGCTCTTATCACTTCTCCAACATTCTCTTGGATTAACAGTCCATATAATAAGGCAGGAAAAAGAAGCAAAAGGCATATAGATTGGAAAGGAAGATGTTAAACTGTTTTTATTTGCAGACGATATGATTGTGTATGTAGAAAATCCTACGAAAACCACAAAAGAATTCCTAGTAGATATAATAAGTGAATTTAGCAAAGTTGCAGGATTTCTATGTACTATCAATGAGCCACTGGAAAATGATAGGTCACATGGGTTATGCATTTGTCAAAATCCATGGAATACTTACATAAATTAGTTATACAATTTAACTGCATGTAAATTATACCTAAATTTTTTTAAAAAATTAAATAAACCAAGGTAAAGGCTATATAAAGTATATTCTAGTACAATTTGGGTGCTTGCTGATTTGCTCCTTCTGAGTTGTAAAATAGGGTCAGGCTTTATTTAAATTATTTTTGTCAATGTTAAGTCTAAATGTGTTTATAGTTACCCATTCCTTAGATTTCCCATCTTTCATAAGAATCTGGGCTTGAATGAATGGTATGGGATTTGGACCCAAATGAAATACCCCTGACAAAGTGACAGAGCAAGTATGACATTTATGTATACTTCTTTTGGTCTGACTGCTATAACATATTGCCTCCTTTGAATACTGAATTTGGGATTAAAAGTCCTGGCTTTAAATTTGGGTTCTGAATCGAATTAGCTGTGCAAACTTGGGTTATTTCACTATTCTGAGTATTTTTCTCATTTGTTAAACAGGAATAACATCATAGTTTCATGAAAATGTGAGAGAGTTAATGCGACAATGACAGGCACATTGCAGGGACCCAATGAATGTTTTCCTTAATCTTAGTGGGGTATTTTCATTAAATCTCTATTACAGTACTATTTGATTTGACATTTTCTTCTAACAGAGGAACCTAAACTGTGTAATAGGAGTTTAGGGGATGGTTATGAGAAGTTAGACACAGAGCTGATGGAGATAATTTCCCCAAGGATCACTATTGTACAATGGCTCTCTCATAGTTATTTCTTGTGCTAGCAACTATTCATGAATTCATATTCATTCATTTATTTTTTTCCTCTAGATTCTAAAATTACTGGTTAAAAGGAGGAATCATTGGTCCCAGCCAAGAACTCTATTTCTTTATCTCCTAAGGGAATACTTTACTAATTCATGCTTAGAGAAACTGAGTTCCTTATTTTTACTGTAGGGGCTTATTCTATAGCTCCAACTGTTTTCATTCTTGGCTCACCTCTTCTTCCCCTAATATCGGACATGCCTATTTCATTCACCCATCAGGCCTTTAGTGAACATTTATATCAGGCTCTATGGTTGAGAATCAGGGAATAGCTGAAACTTGAGGGATGATAAAGTTTTCAGCCAAATGAATAAAGTAAGAAACTGTAGGCTCCAGTTATGGTATCCTGCCTGTTTCAAGAAATTATGCCTTAGTTGCAAATAATTTGTTGAGAACCTCTTTTTTTCAAAAGGTTAAAGAGACAGGAACTCTCTCTCCACCTCTTTTTTTCCCAATTTAACTACTGTTTGGAATTTTCTTTTGAAATTCTGTTCCCAGGGGCACCTGTGTGGTGTAGTCGGTTAGGTATCTGACTCTTGGTTTTGGTGGCTTAGGTTGTGATCCCGGAGTCGTGGGATCAAGCCAAGCCCCAGGTTGGGCTCTGCGCTTAGCATGGAGTCTGCTTGAGACTCCCTCTCACTCTGCCCCTATCCACCCACTCTGCTCGCTCTCTAAAATAAATAAATAAATCTTAAAAAACAAAACAAAACAAAACCAGAAATCCTGTTCCCAGAACATAAAACAGAAACAAAACTGAGACTCACCTCTGACTCCTCTCAGGAATGTCCAGCACAAACCCAAACATCATCTCGGCAATTTTATTGGAGCTGCATGTGGGGGTCCTGTCTACCTCTACGGCTATGGACAGCATCCTTTGCAGCTGACACACAATCCTGTGTCCAGAACATAGAACACAAGTGAGTGGGAGAATCTAGCCAGGAGCCACCCGGCTAGCTGGGAGGTCCCCACCCATGTACTAAAGGACATTGTAAAGCACATACTAGGTCAGAGAGAACTACTCAAGCTATCAGCATGCTTTTATTTAGCAATTTCACCTACCTGAATCCCTCTTGCCAGATCATACTATCTGTGGTTGAGCTGTAAAAGCAAGCTACTTTTAAATTCAAAATAGAAACATCTGATCTTAAGGATCTAGAGAACTTTAAGGATCATCTAACCTATAACTTTTCTATTTTCCAGATGAAGAAACAGGTCCAGAATGACTATCAGTTATTCAAATTTCTTTGATACAGGAGAAAATACATATTTACCATATGGTTTTCCTGTCACTGGTTTCTTTACAATTATCTTTTAGTAAGTTCAGTCTCAGAACTTCAACTGGTGGACTGTGACCCTCTGTCCTATCAGACCTGAATGTGGGAGAAAGCCAGGCTGATGTGGCAGAAAGAATCTAGGCTACCCCTCAGAAAGGTGGGCCTGGCCTGAAGTCAGACTTTTTTAACATGCATTATTATTTGTGAAGGAAGAAAGGGCTCTGTTTTCAGAAAATCTGCAGTCAGTAACACAATAGGTGGCCTAGGGGCTTTGGCATCAGATTCTGGCTCTGCAATGACAAGCTGGTCAACTTTTGACAAATTACTAAATTCCTCTGAGCCCAGGTCTTCTCATCTCTAAAAAAGGGGGAATAATACCACCTATTTCATAAAGTTGTGAGTGCTGTGTAAGATATTTGGTAGATACGCACTCATTAATGGTAAATGGTAGTGCCTATTGTTGTTAACATCATGATAAATTGACTTTTAGAGGGCCTTATTTTTATTTATAGTAATATTTAATTATAATAAATAATAATAATAATTTAGATTATAGTATTTTCTTCCATTGAAGGAATAGTGTCTGCCCCTCTCTTAGGTCTATATACTGAGGTTCTAGGATAACCTTACTTTACAGCCTCCCCCACTCTGTCAAGCAAATACTTTTTTGTTCTCAACATTCTCCCTTTAGATACAAGACTGTCTCTTAAATTAGTTAAAACCCTTAGGCCTTATATGAAAATCAGATTGGTGCAACTAGATTATAAAATAGTGTTGTAAATTTAGGCACAAATGCTGTATTTGAAGTGTCAAGTGTGATGGGCTTTTAACAATATGACTGCCATGGAATAGTAGGTTACTTGTGCAAGGACAGTTCTGGATCCTAAAACCCTGGCATCCCTCAAAAAATGCCCAAACCACTCTCAACCCCATAAAAGAAATGCTAGGAATCTCTTTTCAGTGTGGTTTGAGGTAATGGGACCCTCCCTGGTCTGAGCCATTGCTGTTATAACCTGTTAGAATCTGCAGGTTAAACTGCTATTCTTCTCCCAGGACTGGAGGAGAGACATGAAGGTCCTTGAGGACTAGAGGCTGCTGGAACACCCACTATCCATGACTCCTTCCCTTCCATCAGTGGTCAGCTGAAGTGATGAGTAGCTGTGACCCTGTACTGTCCCTTGGAATCCAGAAAATGGATCCCTTAGCTTTTGTTTCACTTCAATTTTGTGAACTTATGTTCACTTAGTGAAGTCCTATTCATCTGAGAGAGAAAGCATCTGCTTTTGTTTAACTTTGGCATTAGAATTTAGCCTGTAGCCAAACTAAGATAGTCTTTAGTAAGAATCAGCCTATGTTACAAGAGGTTGTTAATTCTGTGGAAACTTCTTTTAGGAATGCTGCTGTTCTCTAAAGCAATAAATCCCGACAGCCCCGGGAAAGACAGCTTGTGCCTGCCCCTTACAGCTGATTGGTGTTCTTTGTCAGGTTGGGCTGGGGAGAAGGATGGCTACTGCTGGCCTTCAAGATTCCTGTTCCGGGAGAGGTTTGATTCCCATTTGGCGGCTGAGTTAATCCTTCTTCAGTTACTACTTTGACCAACCACTTGATGACATCCCTGCAATGGAAAAAAGATAAGAAAAAAAAGTTTAAACTTCTGTCTTATTGTATGGTGCTCAAAACCACAGCCTTAACCTGGGCTCTGAGGCCCCTAGATTTCCCCAAAGGTTACAAAGAGGGTTCTTAGGTGATTTTCAATATTTAAACAAGTCTAATGGAAACCCCACATTTAATTGCAGTAAGCTAATGAAGTATCGACATTTTTCTGAGTTGTTATTGAAAGGTACCTCTGGGGTCAAAGAATACTATCTGTGGCTTCCTGATTAGAAACATGCATTGAGCAGATGGAAAGTTTGACTGGATGACCACAGAGATCCTTGCTGGCTTTCTATGATTAGGTGTCATCTACTAATGCTAATAATTGAGGTTTAGAGTATGTGCAATGGAGTCATACTTTATGCAGGGTGAAGGCTTTAAAAGTTAGTAAGGTAAAAACATCTCATATAGTCAAAATTACTTTTGATGATCACTTAGGTAACCCAGGTAAAAATGGTGGATTTAATACACACTTCTAATTTTGTTACCTCCTAAATCCCACTGATGCTAGAGTAAATAATTCTTTTAAAAATCCACAAGGAAGAGGAGAAAAGGAAGGGAGACAATAACGTGAAATTTTAGAAGATGGAAGGGAAATGAAGTATAATCACAAAATAGAATATTACATAGTAGTGAAAATGAGTAAGCTACAGTGGTAAGTGACAGTAGGGACAAACCTTAGTACTCTATAATATAAAGTGAAAAATAAAAGTTCCAACAGATTATGTATAGCATGATATCCTTTAATATACAGTAGGAAGGAACTAAAATATAAACATATACTTTATAGGAACACATTTAGATATAATAAAATGACATAAAGATGGAAAGGAAATGATGAACATACAGAATGCTGATCACTTTGGGTGCAGGAAGGTGCAAAGTAGGTGATAGGCAGATGGATGTATGGTTAGATCCAGGTAATTGTCAAGGTACCAGCCTTTGATTTGGGGGGTGGATTAAGAGATGCTGATTACAAAATCAAAAGTAACCAATTAACTAGATAAGGCAAGTATGTCATGCTTTAAGGATTTTTTTTTTTTTTAAGAGAGGGAGAGAGATGGGGCAGGGGCAGAAGGAGAGGGAGAGAAATAATCTTAAGTGGGCTCCACACCCAGCATGGAGCCCAATGTGGGGCTCAATCTCACAACCCTGAGATCATGACCTGAGCTGAAAATCAAGAGTCGGATGCTTAACCGACCTTGCCACCCAGGTGCCCCTTTAAGGATGATTCTATTTTTTTTTAAATTAACATATAATGTATTATTTGTTTCAGGGGTACAGGTCTGTGATTCATCAGTCTTACACAACACCAGTGCTCACCACAACACATATCCTCCCCAATGTTTAAGGATGATTCTTAATCTAAGTCTATGACTTTAGCAAAGGGATGGATTTTAACTGACTTAGCAGAATTGAGAAAGCCGAATCCTAAACCAGCAATAGAGAAGAGTAATCCTATTTAATCCTATTTACCAAAAAAGAAAAAAAAATCTTCAATAAGCTGTGCAAATGGCAGTGCAAAGCTTCTCTGAAGGAGAATGAAAGGATATAAGGGAAAATAAGCATAATGGTTTATAAGCTCTTTTAAGATTTTTTTTTTTTTTTTGGACAGAGAGAGGGAACACAAGCAGCGGGAGTGGGAGAGGGAGAAGCAGACTCCCACCTGAGCAGGGAGCCCGACGTGGGGCTCGATCTCAGGACCCCGGGATCATGACCCGAGCCGAAGGCAGACGCTTAACGACTGAGCCACCAGGCGCCCCTGGTTTGTAAGCTCTTTAAGAAAAAGTTTTAGACTCTAAACTACAAGTTAACATTGTGGAGAGATAAAACTGAGGGTCTTTGGACTAGGATACCAGGCACAGCTGGGAGGCAAGGGTATCAAAGCACAACAGCGGCACGAAGTGAACATATGCATGCTGAACGCAGAGGCCCTTGCTGTTTTCCCACACTTGTCTTCCAAAAACTTGGCATCCCAGTCTTTACCCTTTATGTAGGAAATTGGAAGTCTTCTTTGAAAAACCCATCCAGCTCAACCAAGAGGAAAGACCTGAAGACACTGACAGGGTATTTTCTAAAAAATGGGCAGTCAGTTCTACTTACAGGGAAGTACAGAAATGACAAGTCCTCCCATGTACTTTGAGCTTTCATCAACAGTCAAGTCTGTCACCCTTAAACTTGGATAGACTACCAAGGTTTACTAGACCTTTATGAAAATGTTCCACTATGAGAGATAAAGACCAAAATAACCAAAATCAATGCTCCCTCCCCGCCCCCCCCGCTAAAAAAGTAACTTGGGAGAAAATAAGACTATGCAGAGAATAAACAAAAACAAAAGCCATCATCGGTATCACCAAAGATATGAGAATGTATGGATCCATGAAAGAAGAAAACAAGAACAGAATACTATTTATTAATTTTAAAAAGGAACATTTAGAGACAAAGTAAAAAAAGCCCTTGGAAATTAAAAACATAATAACAGAAATAAAAACTCTATTTTCAGGAATGAAGGAGGTTTCTAGACTGAATGCCCAGAACAATGGATGAATGCAGACCTACAACAAGCATACTGGGCAAAAAGAGGATTCTAAAAATTTTCGGAGGAAAAACTTAGGGCATATACAAAGAATCAGTAATCAAAGTAACTTACGACTTCTTAACAGCAATTGTGGAAGCTAGAAGAAAATGGAAAATTTCCTTCAGCGGGGCACCTGGGTGGCTCAGTCGTTAAGTGTCTGCCTTCAGCTCAGGTCACGATCCCAGGTTCCTGGGATCGAGCCCCATATCTGGCTCCTTGCTCAGCAGGAAGCCTGCTTCTCCCTCTCCCACTCCCACTGCTTGTGTTCCTGCTCTTGCTATCTCTCTCTGTCAAATAAATAAAATCTTTAAAAAAAAAAAAAAGAAAATTTCCTTCAATGTTCTGTAGAAAAGCTATTTGTAACCTAAATATCTATACTGCTATCAATCAACATATGGGAAGATAAATATTTTCAGATATTGAAGATCTCAAAAATTTTACTTCCCACATCCATTTCTAAGAAGCCACTGGAGACTAATCTATTAAAATGAGGGAGTAAACCAAGAAAGAGAAGATATAGGGCAAACAAACATACAAAAGATCTAACTTTGGAAACAGATAAAGGAAATTCTCACATTTATGATAAAAACTGGCAAAGAAGACAACCAGTCCAGACTGAAGGAGGTCTTTAAGAAGAAGAAGACTACCCAGTGCAAATGAACATCTTGAGGGGAGATTTAGAGCAAATAGAGAATTTGGGGTTAACTTCCAATATGCACAAATAATACAGGGGAACTAAAAATAAGGCAATTATTAACTCTAAGGAAACACAAAGGTATGAAAGAAAGGAAAAGTAATCATAGTTTAGTACTTGGCTCAACTCTGACTAGCACACATAGTCCTAGTAATAGAAACATTGAATATTGATCTGAAGAAAATTACGATATAAGTAAATTAATAGTATGGGGGCTGGGAAATGTGTGTGTCAGGGAGGAGGGAGGGAGGAAAAAAGAGTTAACTTCTTGTCCTTCATGTAGAAAGTCAACAAATAATAGTTAATAAAGAAAAATCAAGAATTAGCAATACAAGGTATTGCTATTTAGTCATACAGAGGTAAATATCCAAAAAATCACATAAAATAGTAAAGTGATTACCCTTGTGGGAAAGGAAAATGCAGGTGAAGGGACTTGGGAACTAGTGTATTTCTTAAATCTTATAGAACTAGTTTATTCTTTGTATGAACAGTTAAAAAAGAAAAGAAAGCCCCATAAGAAAGGGTAATATAGAGAATGACTTGCTGCCTCTCCCTCTTTTTAAAAATTCCCATCTTTGAGATAAGAAATAACAAATGCTGGTGAGGATGTGGAGAAAAAGGAATCCTCATGCACTGTTGGGAATGTAAATTGGTATAACCACTAGGGTAACAGAATGGAGGTTCCTCAAAATTTAAAAATAGAAATACCATTATGATCCAGTAATCCCACTACTGGGTATTTAAAGAAAATGAAAATGCTAATTCAAAAAGATATATGCACCTGTTCTGTATGGATAGATGTTTTTGTGATTTGTCCCGCATAACCGACCATCTGGACCTGCATATACACAGGCAGGCTAAGGAATGTTGTTTGTGAGACTCATGCTGTGTGAATAATCTTGGGAGCCTGGTTGTTTGAAATACATTATCTGGTCTCCAGGTCAGAACTGGCCCTTCCGTTCTGGATGCCAAGGGCGACAAATCTTATCTCTCATCCCCTCCTGCTCCATGCTGGGCTGGCTCCCTGAAATGGAATCCTGGAGGGGAGGCAGACACACATAGCCCAGGCTCCTTGAAAATATAGAAACATGATAACATGGAAATACAGCTTGTTCCAAACTACATGTAGGCAAACAAATGTTTAATTTCAAACCCTGTTATTTGCCCTATAAATATGGCCCTTATGGGAATGATCAGTTGGAAGTCTCGCCTGAGGGGAGGATGCTCTGCCCAGGTTTCTCAGTTGGGACTCCTGCCTTGCTGGAGTTTCCATGGGGCTTCCCCAGCTGATGAGGTTGGATGTTGTAAGTACCTGGTTTGATGTGACTTTGCCTTATTCTCATTTATTGCCTATTATTACCTTCATCTATATGTAGATCCTTTTCCTCTTCTGTTTCTATTAGGTTTCTATAATAATAATAAACTTTTCTTTCCTTTTTGAAACGGAAACATGGCTGCTGAGAATCTTTTGTTCAGAACAGCACCCCTATGTTTATTGCAGCATTATTTACAACAGCTAAGACATGGAAGCAACCTAAGTGTCCATCAATAGATGAATGGATAAAGAAGATGTGATATATTTACACGCACACACACACACACACACACAATGGAATAATAGCCACAAGAAAGAATGAAATCTTGCCATTTGTGAGAACATGCATGGACCAAGACGGTATTATGATAGATGAAGTAAGTCAGAGAAAGACAAATACCACATGATTTCACTTATTTGTGGAATCTAAAAAACAAACAAACAAACAAAACAGAAACAGACTCATAAATACAGAAAACAAATTGGTGGTTGCCAAGCACAAGGGGTAGAAGGATGAGTAAAACAGGTGGAGGGGATTGGGGGGTGTAGGCTACTAGTTATGGAATGAATAAGTCACATGGATGAAAGGTACAGCACAGAGAATGTAATCAATGATATTACAGAAGTGCAGTGTGGTGTCAGATGGTAGCCACACTTGTGGTGAGCATAGCATGATATATAGAGTTGTCAAATCACTATGCTGCACACCTGAAACTAATATAACATTGTGTGTCAGCTATACTTCAATTAACAAAAACTCATCTTTGAGGTTTATATACAATAAGTTGCCCACAGGTTTTTACTTGATGAGTTTTGATAAATCTATGTATACATCTGTATAACCACAACCTCAATCCAATATCCATCTCTTAGTGAATCAAAGATTAACAGGTTTTTCCTCCATCTGAACAGATGATTTTTCTCATTGATAAAAAACAAAATAGAGGATTTGGCTTGATTTAGAAGCCACAAATGCCTATCTTTATTTTTTATTTTTTAAAGATTTCATTTATTTATTTGACACAGAGAGAGAAAGCACAAGTAGGTAGTGTGGCAGGCAGAGAGAGAGGGAGAAGCAGGCTCTCCACTGAGCAGGGAGCCTGACGTGGGGCTTGATCCCAGGACCCGGGGATCACGACCTGAGCCGAAGGCAGACACTTAACCGACTGAACAACCCAGGTGCCCCACAAATGCCTGTCTTTAAACCTTAAACCCAAGATCACACTCTGCATGGTACAAAATAGAAATGAAAGCAACTGACATGACTGGATCAAGAAGTCTGTTTCTCTCTTCTCCCACTCAATCCAATCCTATGCTCACAAAGCAGAATGGTTGCTAGAGCTGCTCTCATTAATTAAATTGTTATTTTTCTATTTAAAACCCAACTATGCTATCCTGTGCTCTTTGTAGATTCTCTACTTACTGATTTTCTAATCATTAACATTTAAACTACATAAAATGCCACATCTAGGAAAATGAATATGGCCATGCAAACTAAGCAGGGAAGCTGGCTAATGCTCAAAACAATATGAAGCTTCCTCCTTTTTTTATTAAAGTAGTTATAATAGTATCCCATATTGGCCCATACAAAACTATTTTTAACAAACATGCAAGAACATATGGGAACATAAATATGAATGGAAGAGTTTCAATGATGCTGGTAAAAAAAAGGACGCTGGTACTTTAGTCTGGTGAGAACCATTTCCAAAAAAAGCAAGGGTTGTAGTTTCAGGAGGAAAATTCCAGCCTGAAATCACCACCCTAGAAATCACATTTTCTCCCACTGATATAAGGATATGGTATCTCCCTGCTCTGAAGCTTCCAGAAGCTCTCTCTTGCCCTGATTCTACAAAAAAGAACACATGCTTGCTAGCTACCATTTTGACTGTATTGTTAGCCACATGACCTATTATCACATATTAGTTTTCAGAAACTAGTAGTGACAAATTAGAGTTCTTGAGTTATTCAGGGAGAAGGAAATAAACTGAGGTTCATAAAAGCTGTGAAAAGTTTTACGTAAGTTAAGGTCTCCCCGCCCAGGTCTCCTGAGGCTGTCTGGACAATTCTGAAATACACCAAAGGACATCTGATGGTCTTGAGAAAAACCACGAAGGCTGTGGTGCCTGACACATAGCTGGTACAGAGAGATTTTCTTTTAGGATCATCCATAGTTTTAATAGCTATCCCTGTTATACTATCGAGTGACTATAGTCTCATCCACCCAATGTTCTTGAGCCTTGAGTAGCTGCCCACTTACGGCCCCGACCTCTCGTCACCCCCAGGCTCAGGCGCTGGTTACCTGACATTGTGGGGCTGCTTGTCGCAGGACAGCACAGTGCTTGCAATGGACTGCTGCAGGTGCTGTCGCTGCCTCCTCAGGATCTGCTGGAAGTCATCTTCTAGAGTCTGTACCACATAACGCAGAAAAAGGACTCGCCCAGGCAGATTCTGTCCCTGTGGGAGAAAAAAATGAGAAGTATTTCCTCTCAATTTCCTGAGGACAGTGAGTATTGGGCTCTCATAAATATGAAGTCCAAGGGAAGGCCATGTGTCAACAAGTGTGTCTGTACCTAAAAGAAGCTCCTGAGAGGGCAGGCAGTCCAGGTCATTACAAAAGAGGGGAAATAGGGCAGTCTCGGAGCCTGGAGGCTCAGGACTATAGACTTCCTAATTTTAAGAGATAGATAACCAAGAAGTCAGTCTCAGGACAAACCCCAAACTGTGGATATCAAAACAGAGAGACAAAAACTGGCTCCTAAATGACCCTGTTGAGCTGCTGGATCAAGCAACCATGATGTCCATACCACTGCTAAACTTCCAGTAACATGAGCTGATGCATAGCCTTATTGTTTTTGCAAGTCTGAGTTGGGTTGTTACAGGTGAAATGATCCTAACTGAGAAAGCCCAACCGAAAGCATGTGGGCTTTGATGGCACACAGACCTTATGTATTTATTTTCGTTTGATGTTTTAAACTCAGATCCACACCTTCTTCAACTTGCCCTTCTGAGTCTCAGTGTCTTTGTGATTTACGTGGTGGGAACGGTAATGGTACCAAAACCAGTGTAAGCACTTGTGACACAAGAGGCAGACATGTACCATTTGTTGGTTTCCCTTTACTGGGAGACGAGTGCTGGGACCCAGGCCGAGGAGCTCAGGCTTTGAAGAGTCGAAAAATAAGGCCCCAAACCATTTCTGGACTCTTTAGGAACTTTTCAAACACTAGGGGGTAGGCATATACTCTGAGAATATACACTCATGGACTAGGGTATGGTTTAGTCAGCAGGAAAAAGAATGACCATTGTAAGCACAAACAATTTCTTTCTTTTTAAAGAGGAGGTGGGATGGATAACTTTGTCTTCCAAATGTGTACATTTTTTTCTCTAATCCTTGTTAATTGGTGCAAATGATTTTTTAAAAACCAAGTACTTGTGCTAGATTTATGACGGAAGTCTTCCACTAACACCACTCTCCACTACTGCTTGCCCCGAGTACCCTAGAGGGAAATTTTAAACTCTTTCTTCTGAAAGTTACCCTAAACATCTCTAAAAAGATGCTTTTATCACTATTTCTTGATTTATTAACTTTAGACATTACCTATTGGCTTTGCTATGCTAGATAAGGATTTAACTCACTTGTGCCATTTCCCTGCTTTTCTTCCTAAAATAACTATCTCAATTTATGTTCCATCATCTATAGATAGTATCTCTTGACTCCCCACTTGATATAAAGATAAAGATGTTATAGCAACCCTACTATTCTCAGAGATCCTATCCCTTTTCATCTCCTAATCTTTATCTTCTACGCTTTTCTGTTTTCCACTGTCAAGGCTCATAGACTTGTCTTATGTGCTTTGTATATAAATTGATTCTAAATCTTATAACTAAACAGTGTTTACAGTATGAGGACTGTGTTAAAATTATTTACTATGGCACAGGAGAGAGACTCTACTGGCTGTTTTTGAGAGAGAGAAACAGCTGGGTTACAAGGCCTTTTCTGTGGGGACTAACAGCCTTCCATGGACTGATGGTGGAAATCCATATAGTAGTATACTAAGAAAATCATTCCTTTCTTGTGAAGCTTTTTGATTTTCCTAAAGTTTCTTTTTTTATCCTCCCTACATTGCCTACAGTGAACATTTTACTTCTTTCAACTCCTCAAGAATGGTGTTGAATCTTGAGAATACCCTTCTTTTCCAATTTTTTTTCATTTTTAAAAACAACTTTATTGAAAAACCTTAAAAATTCACCCATTTTAAATGTACAGTTCAATGATTTGTTGTAAATTTATTGAGTTTGGCAACTATGACCATCAATTTTTAGAACATCTTCACGTTCTAAATGACTCAGTTGGTTAAGTGTCCAACTCTTGGTTTCAGCTTAGGTCATGATCTCATGGGTCATGAGATTGAGCCCCATGATGGGCTTCACGCTCAGCATGGAGTGTGCTTGAAAAGTCTCTTCCTCTTCCTCTCCCCCTACTCATGAGCACTCTCTCATTCTAAAATAGATAAATCTTAAAAAAAAAAAAAAAAGAACATCTTTATAACTGAAATAAGATCGCTCATGCCTGTTTACAGTTAATTCCCGTCCCCACCTCTAGCTCCAGGCAAACACTCCTCTACTTTCTGGCTCTACTGATTTGCCCTTCTGGACATTTCATATATGCAGAATTATACAATATGTGATCTTGTGTATGTGGCTTCCTTTTACTTAGCTTAATATTTTTTTGAGGTTTGTCCATGTCTTAGCATGTATCAAGAGCTCATTTTTTTTAAATTACTGAATAGTATTCCCATGTATAAATATAGCACATTTTGCTTATCCATTCAACTGTTGATGGACATTTGGTCTGTTTCCACTTTTTGGCTATTATGAATAATGGTGCTATGAACATTCACATGTAAGCCTTTATTAGACATATATTTTCATTTTTTGGGGGGTCAGTACCTGGAAGTGGAATAGCTGGGTCATATGATAAGTTTATGTTTAATTTTTTAAAGAAACTGCCAAACTGTTTTCCAAAGTGGTTGTACCATTTACATTCCCACCAGCAACGTATGAAACTTACTGTATCTTTACTTTCTTGGCAACATTTGTTATAGCCTGTTTTCTTTTTAAAATTTTTAAAAATTGTGGTAAAAAACATGTAACAGTTTATTATTTTAACCATTTTTAAGTGTACAGTTTAGTATTGTTAAGTATATTTCCATAGTTGTGCAACAGATCTTCAGAACTTTTCCATCTTGCAATATGAAACTCTATACACATTGAACAATAACACCCAATTTCCCCCTCCCCCTAACCCCTGGTAACCAACATTCTATTTGCTTTTTAAAAAAAATTTTTTTTTTTTTTAATTTAAGTAGGCTCCATGCCCAGCGCAGAGCCCAATGTGGGGCCCAACAGGGGGCCTGAACCCACGACCCAGAGATTAAGACTTGAACTGAAATCAAGAGTTGGAGGCCCAACTGACTGAGCCACCCAGGTGCTCCCATTTGTTTTTTATATTAATATGACTACTATAGACACTTTGCATACATCAAATTATATACTGTCTTTTTTTGTGACTGGCTTATTTCACTTAGTATCTTGTCTTCATTATGCTACCATCCATGTTGTAGCATATGGGAGGATTTCCTTCCTGTTTAAAGCAGAATTAATATTTCATCTTATCTGTATATACCACATTTTGTTTACCTAGTTATCTGTTGATGGACAGTTCGGTTAGTTCCACTTCTTGGCTATTGTGAATAATGCTGCTATGAACATGGGTGTGCAAATATCTTTTCGAGACCCTTCTTTCAATTCTTTTACATATATACCCCTGTGGGAGTATATGAAGTGGGATTGATGGATCATATGGTAATTCTATTTTTAATTTTTTGAAGAACCACCATATAATCTTCATAGTGGCTATACTATTTTATAATCCTACCCACAGTGGGCAAGTGATCTAATTTCTCTATATCCTTGCCACTACTTATTTTCCGTTAAAAATTTTTCTTTTAATCGTACCCATCCTGGGGCACCTGGGTGGCTCAGTCGTTAAGCGAATGCCTTCGGCTCAGGTCATGGTCCCAGGGTCCTGGGATCGAGCCCCGCATCAGGCTCCCTGCGCGGGAAGCCTGCTTCTCCCTCTCCCGCTCCCCCTGCTTATGTTCCCTCTCTCGCTGTGTCTCTCTCTGTCAAATAAATAAAATCTTAAAAAAAAAAAATAGTACCCATCCTGTTGGGTGTGAAATGATATCTCACTGTAATTTTGATTTGCATTTCTCTGTGATTAGTGATGTTGAGCATCCTTTCATATGCTTATTGGCCATTTGTATATCATCTTTGGAAAAATCTCTATTCAAGTCCTTTGCCCTTTTAAAAATCAGGTTATCTTGTTCAATTTTTCCTTTAATTCTGCCAGTTTTGTAGTAAAATGTTTAAATGTTGTTGAGTTATAGGAGTTCTTTATATATTCTGGATATTAACCCCTTATCAGACATGTGATTATTTTTTATTTTTATTTTTTTAAAGATTTTATTTATTTGAGAGAGAGAGAGAATGAGAGAGAGAGAGAGAGAGCAT